ACCTTAGTCAGGGTAGACGCGATATTGAATTTAGCATGGATGAAAACTAGGCTCACAGAGTCTTTAATGCCTTTTTTGTCTACTGATTTTTCTTCTTCTGGAACGATGTTTGAACAGTATGCTGTTAAACAGCAGTATACATTGAAGGCCTCCTGTGGTGAAAATCCAGCTTTTAATGCTGTTTATTAAAGAAGTTGTTCACTTTAAAGAAAGAAAAAAAAAAAAAGGTTTTTGATGAAAACATTCCAGGATTTTCTCCAAATAATGGACTTCAATGGGGTCCAAACGGTTCAAGGTCCAAAAGAGAGTTTCAGTGCAGCTTCAAAGGACTTTAAACGACACCAGACGATGAATAAGGGTCTTATCTAGGACCCTTCGAGTCATGACTCGAAAAAAGATTTGTTCATTTTGATGAACGGGTTCGAACAGGAAAGTCACGAACGCTCATCACCGAACAGAGCAAGACGTGCATTTGTGCTTATAAAACTTAAACTTTTTAATTAAAATATTTAATGAGCGATCGTTTCGCTTGATAAGACCCTTATTCATCGTCTGGTGTCGTTTAAAGCCCTTTGAAGCTGCACTGAAATGCCTTGTCTGTGGACATCGTTCAGTCCAAAGCCAGTGCCGGATAAACAGCGAGCGTGCATACGACAGAAGGATGCGCTAGGCTAAATTATTTACGACAGCGCTAATGGACAATTCCACTTCCAACCTGTAGGGTGACCGCAGAGGAAAAGTTACTTGGTGTTGCTTTAAATATGTCATTTTGGTGATCAAAGATGAGTTTAAAGGGAAAAAATGAGTGACTACTGGGGGACCTTGTTTTGGTTCGTGTCTAAGGTTTGTTGGTTGAGCCAACACAGAGATATCTGACAGCTTGCAGTATCGCTCGCAGCATCTTTAATTGAATAAAAGAAATGAAGCAGATATACAGGCCTCCCCCTCACTCTGTACGGCTGTATTACTTCACTCTCTACTCATCCATCATCCATTACAACAGAAATCTCAATGATGTACGTCACACGGTTTGTGCAGCAGAGCGCTCTGATGCTCCATTACAAACATGAGGATGTGAAAACAAACAGCATTCGTTTCCGTCGTCTCCATTTCATCCCCCACGGCGAACTCAAGTCAGCCACTTGTTTCAGCTAAACAAATAACAGTGCAAAATAAAACCAGCAAGCCACTATTGGGAAAAGCATTTAGAGAATATTACATGTGGGAGTCTGAATGCATAAAGCTGGCTTATTGCAAATAAAGATGAAAAAATACAATAAATGCCACAAGTGAGATGACTCAAAATCGAATGGGACTAATCTTAAGCTTTTTATTGGTCAAGTAATCTGGAAATCAAATAAAGTCTGGTTTGGAATTTATCTTTATTTATATAGATTGAATGCCACAAGATGCTCATTTTACAGGTTTACCATTTGATTTCCCTGCACTCTGGGTTGTTTTAACCCAACTTTGGGTCAAATATGGACAAACACAAATGTTGGGTTAAAATGTAATTTAAAATAATGTACAGTTGAAGTTGGGTTAACATTTTAAATTAGATTTTTTTGGTTAAACCAACAATATATTTTATAGTGATGTAAATCTTGGGTTAACCCAAATGTTGGGTTAAAAAATATTTTTTAAAAAATGACAGTTGAAAGTGAAAGTTGAAGTTGGGTTAAAATTTTAAATGACATTTTTAACCCAACATTTGGGTTTGTCCATATTTGATCCAAATTTGGGTTAAAACAACCCAGCATTTTTAGAGTGGTTAAACCAACAATATATTTTTATAGTGATGTAAATCTTGATGTTTTTTTTTTAAGTAGATAATTCATTAAATAACGTTTCCTAATCACACTCTAAAAAAATGCTGGGTTGTTTGAACCCAAATTTGTGTCAAAAATGGACAAACCCAAATGTTGGGTTAAAAATATATAACAAAAAAAATGACAGTTGAAAGTGAAAGTTGAAGTTGGGTTAACATTTTAAATGACATTTTTTACCCAACATTTGGGTTTGTCCATATTTGATCCAAATTTGGGTTAAAACAACCCAGCATTGTTTAGAGTGTGTTGCTTTAACCTGGCCCAAGACATATTTTCTTGTTTAATGTTTATTTGTTCATTGTCCCTGTTTCAAATAAATCAATTTCCATTCCATTTCCATTATAAAACAACATTATCCTCCACAATTTGCTTGAGAGGAGAGTTCTTAGTGCAGCATTGCCTTTGTGTCTCTCTCACACCATCTTCAAGGGATATCTAGTAGGAATATCTTTTATCCGGCTCTGGGTTTATTAACATGTCATCATAAGCTTTAGCACTTTGTCTCCCAGAAATCAAAATTCAGGCATGGGTTTCTTCACACATGCAGCAGAGAAGCTCAAAGGCTTTTAGGATGACAAGGCAAAGCGCCGGCGGGAGAGAAAAGACGAGGTGTGCATTGGGGAATTTTGACAGAATACATTATCCATTTTAGTGATTAGACTGTAACAAACGTCAATGGGCTGAGGCAGGAGCTTTGTGCTTTTGGACTTGATCCTGCATTATTAACCCTCTGGTGCTCTTCGGTCATATTTAACTGAAAAGTTTTTTCCATCATTGGAATGGTATCAAACTTGGTAAAGGTTTTGGCACTTGCTATGTTCACACACACACACACACACACACACACACACAAGTCATGGACATTATTCAAAAAAGGTTAGTGGTCCTGGGATAAAAATATCCATTCTTGTACTGCATTGGAAATGAATGGGAGACGAATTTCATCTAGTAAAATAGCCAAACACAATCATTTGTTTTTATATCAAGCTCAAATTTGGTGTACAATTTGTTTAGCTTTAAGGCTTTCATTTTCTTGCAGTTTTAGAGTAAAACGTGTTTTTGAAAATACAGATTGCATATACAAATTGAAAATAAACAAGAAACGTAAATTCTGTAACTTTCGTAAAGTTGACCTTTAAACTTTTTTTGTTTTACTTCAGCAATATTTTTCCAAGTGTCGTCTTTAAAAAAGAGATCAAACTTAAGTTCTTAAGTTCTTAAGAGTAAAATTCAAGATTTACAGTGTAAGTTGGACATTTAATTTGCAGGTCTATGCTTAAAACGTGAATTAACAACCCAAATTCTCGGCAATTCTTACAAATTTTATGAGGTGGCAAGTTCGTTTGCATTTTGTATGCACCCCTGACCCCGCCCCTAAACCTTCACATCACTGGGGTTGAGACAAATCGTACGAATTCGTATGAGTGAGGATGTGCAAATTCTTACGAATTAGTCTTGGTATAGCTTTGGAATAAATGGATTGTAACTACTGCAAAAATATAACGTAGTACCATAAACGTAGGCTAATATAAAAAAAAAAAACATAAATAAAAATAAATAAATAAAATAAAAAACTTCCCGCCCAAACAAACTCTCAAACATCCCCTGGCTGTATTGCTCTCTGTCTGCTTTCAGATCGGTATGGAAGCTTGTTTCCGCCACAGAATGAAAAATAAAAAAAGGTAATTGCCACTTTTTAATCTCACAATTCTGACTTTTTTTTCTCACAATTGTGAGTTTACATCTCTGAATTCTGACTTTATTCTTTAGAATTGCGGGATGTAAAGTCAGAATTCCGAGATATAAAATCAGAATTGTGTGATATAAAGTCAAAATTGCGTGTTATAAAGTCAGAATTGCCTGATATAAAGTCAGAATTGCAAGATATAAAGTCAGAATTGTGAGCTATAAAGTAAGAATTGTGAGATATAAAGTCAGAATTGCGAGATATAAAGTCAGAATTGTGAGATATAAAGTCAGAATTGCGAGATATAAAGTCAGAATTGTGAGATATAAAGTAAGAATTGCGAGATATAAAGTCAGAATTGCGAGATATAAAGTAAGAATTGCGAGATATAAACTAAGAATTGTGAGATGTAAAGTCTGAATTGTGAGATATAAAGTCAGAATTGTGAGATATAAAGTAAGAATTGCGAGATATAAAGTAAGAATTGTGAGATATAAAGTAAGAATTGCGAGATATAAACTAAGAATTGTGAGATGTAAAGTCTGAATTGTGAGATATAAAGTCAGAATTGCGAGATATAAAGAATTGCGAGATATAAAGTAAGAATTGTGAGATATAAAGTCAGAATTGCGAGATATAAAGTCAGAATTGTGAGATATAAAGTCAGAATTGCGAGATATAAAGTCAGAATTGTGAGATATAAAGTAAGAATTGCGAGATATAAAGTAAGAATTGTGAGATATAAAGTGAGAATTGCGAGATATAAACTAAGAATTGTGAGATGTAAAGTCTGAATTGTGAGATATAAAGTCAGAATTGCGAGATATAAAGTAAGAATTGCGATATATAAAGTCAGAATTGTGAGATATAAAGTCAGAATTGCGATATATAAAGTCAGAATTGTGAGACATAAAGTCTGAATTGTGTGTTATAAAGTCAGAATTTTGAAATATAAAGTCAGAATTTTGAAATGTAAAGTCAGAATTGCGAGATATAAAGTCAGAATTGCCAGATGTAAACTCGCAATTGTGAGAAAAAAGTCGCTTTCACATTGCACTTGTCATTTTTTCTCAAAATTGCGACTTTTCTGACATTATATCTCGCAATTCTGACTTTATATCTTGCGATTCTGACTTTAAAACATGCCATTGTGACTTTATTTCTCACAATTCTGACTTCATATCTCGCAATAGTGAGATTAAAAGTCGCTCTTCTGTCATTTTTTCTCAGAATTGCAACTTTATATCTCGCAATTCTGACTTTATAACACGCAATTGTGAAATAAAAAGTCGCAATTATTATTATTTTTTTTTTTATTCAGTGGCGGAAACGAGCTTCCATAGATCGGTGCAACAGTGACTGATATAAAAAAATAAATAAATAAATAAATAAAATAAAAAACTTCGGCGAAAATTCGCCACGTGAAGAGCACCCCCCCCACACACACACCTGTCCTGACTGCATTGCTCTCTGTCTGCTTTCAGGTCAGTGCTTCAGTGGCTGAACCGTGTGCAGTCGTTCCTCTACTGCAACGAGAACGGCTTCTGGGGAGCGTTCCTGGAGAGCCAGCGCATGTGTGTGTGCCACACGGGCGCCACCCTGTGCCAGCGTCCCATTCCCTGCGTGATCGGCGGGAACAACAGCTGCGCCATGTGCAGCCTAGCCAACATCTCCCAGTGCGGATCCTGCAACAAGGGCTACAAGCTTTACCGCGGCCGCTGCGAACCGCAGAACGTGGACTCGGAGCGGAGCGAGCAGTTCATCAGCTTCGAAACGGACCTGGACTTCCAGGACCTGGAGCTCAAGTACCTGCTGCAGAAGATGGACTCGCGTCTCCACATCCACACCACGTTCATCAGCAATGAGGTGCGTCTGGAGACCTTCTTCGACCCGCGCTGGCGCAAGAGAATGTCGCTGACGCTCAAGAGCAACAAGAACCGAATGGACTACCTGCACATGATCGTGGGCCTGTCGATGAAGATCTGCCAGATGCGAAACAGCAGCGTGGACCCCATGTTCTTCGTGTACGTCAACCCGTTCAGCGGGAGCCACTCGGAGGGATGGAGCATGCCGTTCGGGGAGCACGGATACCCGCGCTGGGAGAAAGTGCGGATCCAGAACTCCCAGTGCTTCAACTGGACCCTCCTGCTGGGCAACCGGTGGAAGACGTTCTTCGAGACCGTGCACATCTATCTCCGAAGCCGAGCCAAGGTGCCGACGGTCATGCGCAACGACACCGGTCAAGGCCCGGTGGACTTATCCGACCCCAACAAGCGCCAGATATACATCAAGATCTCGGACATACAGGTGTTCGGATACAGCTTGAGGTTCAACGCGGATCTGTTGAGGAGCGCCGTCCAACAGGTCAACCAGTCGTACACGCAGGGAACCCAGTTCTACTCGTCCTCGTCCATCATGCTCCTGCTACTGGACATCCGGGAGAGGATTAATCGGCTGGCCCCGCCGGTGGCTCCTGGGAAACCCCAACTGGACCTGTTCTCCTGTATGCTCAAACATCGACTCAAGCTCAACAACAGCGAGATGATTCGCGTCAATCACGCCTTGGACATGTACAACACCGAAATCTTGAAACAATCGGACCACCTGACTACCAAACTTTGCTGAGAAACAAGAACCGCAACAACTGGGAGGAACAAAAACAACAGGAACAAGAACACAATGTTGTATTTCTCGGTTCGGAATTTGGAATCTTTTGCTTTGCTTTTTCTTTTCTTTTTTTGATGTATTATTAACAACTTTGTAAGTGTAATTGTTACATGAAAAACTAAAAATACAGAGAAATCATTTTAGCTCACTACTAAAGGAAAACGACAACAACAACAACAACAACAAAAAAATGACTGTATCATATTTGTCGAAGCATGTCTGTCATTTTTTTCCTACTTACGAGAAAAGATCACAAACTATTAAATTCAACATCCAGTGACACAGAGGCCTTGATTTTACTTTGAGGGAACAAAGGTACATCTTAAACTGCCATTCTTAACGCGTTTTTTAGAGAATTAGCGTAAGGGCAGAACCAAAACACAGGAATTAATTTCAGACGCCACCACGTTTTCTAAGGATTCATCGGCTGTACCGTGTCTCGTCCTTTCATAGAGAGTGAGTTCAGTTCGGGCGTCCATCGTTTCATCGTCTCTCACCGTGAGAACTGAATCCTGTCGTGTGTTTTCACATCCGAGATTCAAGTATCTACGGTTGAACATAATCGATTCATGCTATTTCGTACTGCTTCGCATAATGTACACGTTGTGATTGCTGATGTGTCGAGCTTTTTTGCAGCACCGTGAACAAAATTTTCTTTGAGGGTCAGCATAAAGCCATACATTTCTCAGAGGGACGAAAAAAAAAAAAAAAAAAGAGAGAAGCTGGGCACATTTTGTGAGAAATGTCCTATAAATTGCTTTTGTATTTTTGTTTTACAGTCCTTTTCTAATGAAATATAGCACAGTGGTCTGAAAAAAATAAAATAAATAAATAAGAAAATGATATATATATATATATATATATATATGTGTGCTGCGGGATTATGGCATGACATTGTAAAGCCATTGCATTTTCATTAACAGAGTGAATCCACAAGAACAGTATATTAAAGCTTCAAATATCTATGGTTTTAATCTCAAAATCTGCTTGTATACCAAATGTACACTTTACTTTTGTAATATTTCATTTGGGTTTTATATTCCTTGATGCAATTCAGGTTTAACTTTTTTGACATGTCGATTGATTAATCTCTAAAATCTTAGAGGGGGGAGGGGGGATTTTTTATTTTATTTATTTTATTGAACCTTTCTAGGATATGGAGCATGCCATTATTAATTATTATAATTTTTAGCATTATTATCCAATCTTATTAAGTGCCTGTTAGCTATCCCTTTAATGCTTTCCTTCACTTTTTATTTATTTATTATTATTATTATTATTTAAACAGGAAGAAAATTAAATCTAAATCTAAACACATGACACTTGGGAACAGGGCCAAAAGCTTTCTTGCTGTACTCTGCATGGATTGAAAATAACCTCTTGAGAGGAGACTTAACTTGGTTAATGAGTTAGTTAAATGTGTATTATAAGTGTAAATACCTATTTTGTCTTGATATAGCCATGGAAACAAAAGCTCTAGCAAACGAACCGCAGCCCATTAAACGCCACGACACGAACCCCTCGAGCACAAGTTCTGTAAATATCGCAGGTCTCCCGCAAGATCATCACCAGCTGAAATGAATCTGATCCGAGCTCAATCTGTTAATGGTCTACACACACACACACACACACACACTTCTGTTCCAGAAACCATGTACGACACCGTCCCATAGAGCGCTCAGTGGTGGAGAAACTGCTTTCAAGTACTTTATGTATTTCTGCTGTTCTGTTTAAATAACTATATCGGCTTTCTTCAAAATGAATGTTTCAAATAATAATCTATTTCTCATTAAAATGCTATATTTAATAAGAAGGCCATGCTTGTTTGTACCACACAAAAGCTTGACATTTTTCTGGTAAAAAAATAGGGCTGTGAAACGATTAATCGCGATTAATCGCATCCAAAATAAAAGTTTTGTGTTTGCATAATAATTGTGTGTGTGGTGTGTATATAAATATCTGCATGTAGATACGTTATATATATTTATACAAAATTTATATTATGCATATATATATTAATATTTTATATATTAATAACACATTTTTCTTAAATGTATAAATGCTTATGTGTGTATTTATATATAAAAAATAGTTATACACACTACACACACATATATTATGTAAACATTTTTTTTTATTTTGGATGCGATTGATCGCGATTAATCATTTCACAGCCCTAATATATATACTAAAATGTATTTATTTTACCCTAAGTATACTACAAATACATGTATATTTATGTGTTTAATGTAAATACTAAACTGGTATACTTAGTGTACTTAATTATCCAGAAACCGTGCTGAAGTTCAACTAAACACATAATTTTGCTTGTGCTAAAGTGGAATTAATTGCAAGAGGTTCACTTTAAATTATTGCATTAAATGACTGATATTATACAGAAATCATATTGAACACATTTTAGACTTAATATTAAGAAATGTGCATTGTGCAATATAGAAGTTTAATTATAATATTAACATCAGTAAGTCTCATGCGATGTGTCAGTATGGATTTGCAGTATACTTAGTATGACATAAATGTATTTGAAATGCATTTTCGTGTATATTTTTTTCACCAGGGTGGTTGCACAAAAATGTGTTTTAAGAACGTATTGGAACCTTTCCCATGAAGTTATGAAAATGTTATTTCTGTATGTTCTCTAAACACAGTTCTACGAGCGTTAAAGGAGTAGTTCACTTAAAAAAAATAAATACAAAAGTTTAAGTTTTATAAGCTCAAATGTTCGCCTTGCTCTGTTCTGTGATGTGTGTTTGTGACTCTCCTGTTCAAACTCGTTCATCAAAATGAACAAATCTTTTGTTCAAGTCATGACTCGAAGGGTCCTAGATAAGACCCTTATTCATCGTCTAGTGTCGTTTAAAGCCCTTTGAAGCTGCACTGAAACTCTCATATGGACCTTGAAACATTTGGTCCCCATTGAAGTCCTTTATATGGAGAAAATCCTGGAATGTTTTCATCAAAAACCTTAATTTCTTTTCGACTGAAGAAAGAAAGTCATGGACATCTTGGATGACATGGGGGTGAGTAAATTATCAGCAAACATTTTTTTTTTTTTTTTAAGTGAACTACTCCTTCAAGGGAACATTAAATTTTTATAATTTTCAAACATTATGGGAATGTTACTTGAATAATATGAATGTTCTCTGTTTTTTTTATGTTCGACAAACATTCCATGAATGATGTATACTGTACATAATGTTTTGAGAAGACCACATAACACTGAAGGAACATTTTAATAATGCTACTTGAAGAAGGTTTGTTCATAAATTTGCTAGAACGAGAACCAAACGTGCTGATAGCGTTCGCTATTATCTGGGATCTTTGCAAATGCAGTCGCTGTATTTTCTAATCTCAGGCTGTTTTCTGAGCAGACGCTTCTTGTTTTCAGGCCTGACAGGTAAGGACGTGGGTTAAATGTCTCGCTCAAGGACACACCGGTTGACCGAGGCATTCAGCTTCACATGATTTCCAGCTGAAAGTAACAGGAATCAAACACAATTTACATTTACACTGCTGAAGAACCCAATGAGATGCACTGAACAAAAAATGGAGTAGAATTTACTTGAAAAAAGCTAGGCAACTTTTTCCACTCAGAAAATGCTAGTAAATTTACAAAGATTTGCCAAGTAAAAAACAAAACATATTGATCAGTAGCTTTAATTAGAAATCTTTAAGTTAAATTTACTTGGAATATGAAATTAAGTAAACTTTACAGAAAATAATCATTTTAACTTATAAAAGGTTGATTAATATTTATTTAATTGAAATTTCCTTTGCATTACATTTCACTAAAACAATAATATTGAATTGTATTAGTCATTTATAGTATGTGCTTTACTTAGATCGTCTAAGTCATTTATTTTACATCATGTCAGATGTTAAGCCCAATCTTACTGCACTACAGCAGAGAAACATGGAAACGGCATGAATATAACATCTTCTCAGAGTTTCTCTCCTGAAATATAAGAATAAAGAGTTAACATTAACTAACCATGAACAACATCGCTGTTCAGCATTAGTTAATATGTCACAAAGATCTTTCAATGACACTTTCATTGACATAAGTACTTGCCTTTGAGGAATTTTGATGAACTTTGATTTTGATGATTTTTCATTAGTTTGAACAGGAGAGTCACGAACGCGCATCACAACAGAGCAAGGCGAGCATTTGAGCTTATAAAACTTAAACTTTGTAATTTTATTTTTTAAATGAGCGATCGTTTCGCTTGATAAGACCCTTATTCATCGACTGGAATCGCTTAAAGCCCTTTGAACTGTTTGCAGTTTGCACTGAAACTCTCATTTGGACCTTGAACCGTTTGGACCCCATTGAAGTCCATTATGGAGAAAATCCTGGAATGTTTTCATCAAAAACCTTAATTTCTTTTCGACTGAAGAAAGAATGACGTGGATATCTTGGATGACATGGGGGTGAGTAAATTAGCAGCATTTTTTTTTTTTAAGTTAACTACTCCTTTAACTGTTGTGCAAATGTAAATATTGATGTGAGAAATGCACCAAAGTGACTGAGAAAAACTGTAATATGCATGTACAGGTTTCCCAAAGGAGATTGTCGTTCACATTTCTTCTTTTTTTATTTTTATTTTTTCTATGTGCTATGCAGCGATTTTGCCTTTCTATATCGCAATGACATAGTCTGTCAACAAATTAAAGAACAAACAGTAAAAGCGTAAATGCAAATCTTGTCCAGTCTCTTGCGATGAAACTCCCACACACACTATCACTGTAAAAAATATTTTCAAGATTTGTTATCACAACATATTTTCTTTTGTCAAATCAACTTTATAATAATTTATTCAGTTGAGATAACTTATTATTTTGAGTTTCTGATGATTAAATTAACTCACTTTTTCCAGTTCAATCAACTTAAATTTTTAAGGCAACCCAGGTTACTTACTTTTTTAAGTTAGACCAACAATATTTTTTGACAGTGTAGTAATCGCAACATTTTTATCTTTTGTTAAATCAACTTAAATAATTTGTTTAGTTCAGATAACATATAATTTTGAGTTTCTGATGGTTAAATCATTTTCCTTCATTGTATTAACTCACTTTTTCCAGTTCAATCAACTTAAAATTTTAAGGCAACCAGGTTACTTACTTTTTTAAGTTAAACCATCAATATTTTTTACAGTGAGGTGTGTAACCTACAATTTACAGTAATGATCATCAAAACTTTAGCCACAGTTCACATCAGAACGTCTCCAGAGAACACTGTTATATTGACAACATGACCAATCAAATGTTATCCGTACACAACGACACAAGGACTTGTCATTGATACTGATGTGCTGACCAGATATGTATTTTGAGAAACGTTGAGCAAGAGAATAATCTTGTGTTTTGCTATGTGTACGAATTGTTTTGCGAAATGCGCTTGCTGTTTTACCAATATCGAGGATGATTCGAGAAATGCACCAAAGCGACTGAGAAAAAACTGTAATATGGTCAGCCATGTTTTTGATGAGCGTGAAACTACAGCAAACGTTGATGTTCATTAGCTATACACGAGTCGAAGTGCTATTAAAAGAAGGACAGTTGCTATAGCATGAAGTTCCTGGACCGTTTCAACAAGTCAATTGGCGCTGACGGTCGGGTGGATCTCCATATCAATTGCTTTCGCAATCTTAGCAATGAGCTTACGAAACATTAAGCACAAAGCATGGTGATTT